ATATTTTCGACCGAAAGTCACGATATTTTGCACGATATAAGTCTATAATGACGCGTGTTAAGTTTTGTTGAAATCGGTTCAGATTTTGATATAATTTCCATATACATATATATATGGCTTAAGTTGAGTTTAGGTGCTCATCTCCGATTTTTCTGAAATTTTTTTCTGAAATTTTTGTTTGATCACGAAAATATATGACATTCATGGGGGAAACCCATATTTCCCGAGATATGGACCTCTGAAGTTCCGTAATTCATATGCTCATTACTTGGACATTTATGGGCCGATAATCGTAATATTGACGGATATTTAGAGAAACATGTTTATTTAAAAGAAAATTTCGATCGCATAAGAGAATTTTCTATCTGTCCATAGGAGAAAATCTTAAATCCCCGGCCGAAGGCCGCCTATATAAGACAAATTTTGAAATAAAAGAAATTTTAATCGCATAGCCAGTTTTCCACCTGTCCAGAGCAGAAAGTCTTAAATCCCCGGCCGAAGGCCGGCTATTTAGAAAAAAATTAGTTTAAAAAATATTGTTGATGCGTTAGCCGAATTTTCCGCCTGTCCATAGAAGAAAGTCTTAAATCCCCGGCCGAAGGCCGGCTATTTTTGATAATTTTTAATTAAAACGAATTTAAGTGGAAATATGTGTACGCTTTACAATCATACCAATATTACCTTCACCGATTCATAAATAACGAATTTATGAAAACTCAACTTGTTCAACTTGTTCTTATATGTATATATATATATCCAGATTGTTCTCCGAATACGCTATATTGTCACGAAAGTCTACAATGAGGTATAAATTTCGTTGAAATCGGATCAGATTTAAATATAGCTAAGATATATAATTTAGACCGATTTGAACCAAATATGATTGAATTTAAATTTGCCATAGATCCCCGGAATAAAGTCGGTCAGTAAGGAAAAGTGATACCCTGCACCAATCATTAGAGGTGATTACAATCTTTACTTTACACAAGTTGAATATAGGACAGGGATCGACTTACCTGTGTGGTAAACATTTCAATTCGATCCCATTCCTGTTCCTATATTCAACTTATTCCACCTCTTGTGAGTGGTGTAGGGTATCACATGGTCGTCGCTGTCTGACTTGGGTCTTCCATTTCCTTTACAGATTGTTAAAGTGCGATATTACGCACACCATCTTTCATAGGGGCGGGTGGGGGAAATTTCTTTGTTGTCAAAATTGTTTTTGAGACATTGATAAATTTGGTGTAGTTGTTTTCTTTCTTATTTTTGTTGATTTGTACTAGCCAAAATAAAAATATTACATCTGCCCATCACTTGGGTACTAATTTCCGTATTTGTATTCAATGATGAAAAATATTACCAACAACAAAAAATAAATAATACACACAAGGGTGTAGAGCGCTCGCCTATTCTGTAGTATTGACATCAACTAAAATGCAACAAAAATATAATGCATACGTTCTTTTTTTCTTCAGTGACACTCTTACTGCTGATGTTGTTGTTGTTGCTGCTGTTTTTACTTTTATTTTTATATATATTACTTGTTTTTCTTCTTTTTTTGGGTTCTTTTACAATTGTTATTTTATTATTCCTTTTTATTTTACCTAAATTTTACTTTTTCGAGCAAATAGAAATTATTTCTTTAGCAATTCTTTTATTTCTGCAGTTATTCCACTGTTATTGTGGTGTTTTATTTTGTTTTCTTCTTCAATTCAATTTTATTCACAAAGCACTTGTTTGTCCGCCGACAACTGACTTATCAACTTATTTAACTAATAAGAAAATTCCAACTGATAATTTCATTCTCAGTTGGACAAAGAAAACACAGAGAGAGAGAAATAGTATGTGAGAGAATTTTTTTCTTTTGTTGTTCTCTTTATTCTCAATTCTTATAAGAACAGATGTTGGCAGTTCAGCTGATTGGAAACAGCTGTCAACGATTAAGCATTCACGGTGCAATGATAACACGAAATATTCCATAAAAATAATAACATTAAAATTAACTCCTTCAGAGACGCGTTAAAAAAATAAAATAAAAATTATTTCAATTCAACAAAAGCAGGTATTAAAAAAATAAAATTAAAAATAAAAATTTTAAATTTTGTCTAATTCATTTTAAGAGCGACAATAAGATAGTCAATGTACTCGATTTAGTAAATCCAGTTTATTAAATTGTCATTACCATTGCATATACATATGTCAAATAATTCCTAGGAGGTTTAAATTCCAATTTAAATGTCGTTTAAGTTAGTGAAAAGAAAGAAAGTTTAGACTGACGAGGCGAATCTTTGGCTTCCTAGGTGAGTTATCAATCTCCTACTAGGCGCGTCTTTCCCGGTGGCGTATGGGAAGGTGATTTCTACGATGTGTAGGGCGAAGCTGATCTAGGTCAACCTAGGTCGGATCTTTTCTCTGCATTTCGTGGAAACCTAGGGGATCTTCGGATCCCCCGCGGATCAAAATGGATAGGGGTATTGCGCTTAAATAAATTAACTAAGATATTTAGAAAAATAGAAGGGATAAAGTTACGGTGCAGGGAGTTAATAACCCAGTAACGGCGGCAATCATTGCTGAGACCACAAGCCACGTGTCGTCGAGATCAAGTGATTGTGTTTCAGCTGCTCTAGGTGTGGATGCCTTGGCACCTGCAGCTGTACCTGCTACAAACGAATCATGGTTAACACCAAAAAAATTATCAGACCAGGCAATTCATAAGGATAATGAGCTGGTCAAGACTGATATTAAAAAGTCTACGACAGGACTAGTTCTGAGAGGCAAGATGAGATTCGCAAGGAAGTTCGAAAGAACTTATCCGCACGCGCTTCATCATGAGCTCGATCAAAAATTTCAAAGGAGACCTCTGATTCGAGATAAATAGTAGAGTCGGCGAAGCCCGCTGTCTCTATCAAAGGTGTGTAGCTGAAGCCTAGCCCGAGTTAAAAGGCAATGAAAAAGGCTGTTGAGCACATCCCGACATAAACTGTCATCCATAATGGTGATCTACGTGTGAAGGAATCAAAGCCGAAGAAACCGAGAACAGTAAAGGCATCAACCTCCAAAAGTTAACTCCACCAAAACAAACTCTTCGCCTGATGACGTCCCTGCCATGGCAATCTCAGTTTCAAATGTCACAAGTGCTAGAAACCAACGTATGAACTCGAACACGGATTCTTTTTTAAAATCTAAAAGCGTATGTTCATGCATGTCGCAAAGATTTTTAACTGTTGATGGGCAGGACTTTACGTCGGTCTTAAATATTATAAATGGCAACCCTAACCCGGCAGAGTGAATCTCTAATCTTAGTCAAGAGAGCATCCAAACCGAAATATGGAACGAGGAGGAGAATGTTGATATAACCTTCATCTGCACTTCATCCACTTATCAACAGGGGCAGTCGAATATGTCCGTCTCTTCCAAGGTGAAAACTGTTAAGTGCTGCTAAGCCATACGGCCACTGAGAGGAAAGGAGTCACGATACTGCTGTCGACTCCAGCACCCAAAAGGGCAATTTGATATTAACAACGAAACTTTTATAAGGACAAACTTGCTCACATGGATCAAAACGCAGCTAAAATTCGTGACGAAGTATGAGAGGGATTACCTCATAAGGGCTCTAGGGAACTTCCGGCCGATCGAATTCCTTGGCGTATGGTACCAGATGATTCATCCATCTTAACGACGGAAGTCTCATCAGTCCCAGTCTCCGACAGCCAACTACTGAGAAATCTCGCGACGTCACTACAGACCATAGAGATGGAGTTCGGATCCTCAACCTCGTCAGAGTTTACACCCTTACTCATCATCTGCAAGGACTCACCTTGCTTCGTCACCGTAGTGCTTATCACTGAAGTTTCCGTAATGTCTTCCTCGTCTGACAAGGGTGAGTCATCCCAGAGTTCATTCGGGATGCTCTCCTGACTAAGGCGAAAAGAGCCGCATTCCTCTAATAAATTGAGGAGAACATCCAGGCTTGCGTTCACGTCGTCAAGAGTAAGAGAGTCGTCAACATTTGTGAGGGTTCATTGAAGTCTGACCTTGTAGAGTTAGAGACTGAGAAAGTGCTTTTGGTTAGGGATTGAGGTCGACCATGGCAAGGAGGCAACTAAGCCTGAATAAACTTGTTGCGGTGTCCAGATATCAACAAGGCTCCGTGCAAACCATAGAACGTTGATGGGCACGAGGTCGCATGACACACCAGCGTTAGGGGGGTCACTTTAAGAGTGAAGGACGTAGACCTTTGAGATGGTTATTTAGAGACGCCATCTCGCCTCGTCAGCTCAGGGATCATAGGCTCTCGGTTATTTTTTCCGAGATTCTCCCCTTGAGCCGGCTGATTGTCCGCCACTGTTAGTATTAGGGTTCCCACTATCCGCAACCTGTGGACGCGTCCGTTAGCATACAGCTCTGCTTTCAGCTTACTGCGTAAATTTCTTCTAGTAAGATTTATCCAGCACAATTCGATGTATTTCAATTGGTCGCTAATTTTAAGTTTTGACCAAACTGAAAAACATATTTTTTATTTTTTGATTTTTATTCCTTAATAAGCAAAAAAATTTTTGAAACATTTTAAGTGAAATAACTTTATATTTTGCAAAATCTTACTGGATGTTGTCTCAATTTTATTGCAAAAAAGAATAAGAACGCTTTACTCCCTGTAATAGAACTTACTGAATAAATGTTACTGAAAAAGTAACCATACGCAGCTATTGAGTGAAAACAAAAATTCAAACCTAATGTAACAAATATAACGGCGATGGGCAATTGTTTCTACGCCGTTAAAAAAAATCACATCACCCAGCTGTTGGCGCCGGAATCAATATTAGTCGTCTTTGTTTTCTGGTTGTCAGTATTGGTGTGTTTGTGTGTGCCTGGGGTGGGAGGAGACGTTTTGACTTGTTGAGTTTGAATAAAATTGTTTATAAATAAATAATTGTTATATGTTTAAATAATTTTGAAAAAAAAATATTAAGTGTTAGAAACCAAAGAACGCACAATAAGAAATGGAAAACAAATTACAAAAAGAAGAGGCGGAAACGGGGAAAACACCTGTAAGATAGTACATTACATCAATTGTTCGTACAAAACTAAACAATAAAAAACTTTCACTTTTTTTAGGAATGTAAACGTAAACCTGTTTCCACTGCAACAATACCTGTAAACGCTGTTCTGGTGTTCTTAGCTGTTTCTATAATTTCCTCCGTAATTATAGACGTTTTACCAATAAAACATAGATTTTGGAATTGGGAACAGAAAAATGTAACCACCAGAGCTAAATTCTGTACGGAGGATAAAACCTATGCCATATATGGCAAAAGCAAAAATGAAGATCATTTAATACATGTTGTCAATGTTTTGGAAAGATTGGGCTATAGTCGAGTGAATTTGGAGAATAATTGGAATTTATTGTGGGCTCACGATTATCCTTTTATAAAAATGCCACAACGTATGAAAAGTTTGCAGAAGCATCAAGTGGTAAATCATTTCCCGGGTTGTGGTTTTATAACGAATAAAGTGGATTTATCCACGTCCGAACTGCCATTTCTTCCACGAGCCTTTCGTTTGCCCTCACAAAAGGAAGACTTTTTGGCGTACTCGCGGGCAAATCCATCGGCACTTTTTGTTGAAAAACACAATGAACATCGTCACATTGTTATACGTCCGCCCGAAGAGATCGATTTAAATTCAAATAATTCCTTTGTCCAGGAATATATTCAAAATCCCTTCTTGGTTGATGGCCACAAATTTGATATTGGTGTTTATGTGGTTATAACATCGGTAAATCCGCTACGAATTTATATGTACAGTGGAGATATTTTGTTTCGATATTGTCCGGTGCAATATCATCCCTTTGACGCGGCCAATATAGATAAATATGTGGTTGGTGACGACTATTTGCCAACATGGCAGGTGCCATCATTGAAGAAATATTTTTCGCAATTTGGTGGCAGCATGCGGAGTGCATTCGATGCATATGTAAGAGATCAACAGATGGACCCATCAACAATATGGCAACAAGTGGAAGATATAATCAGACGTACAATATTGTCCAAGGAACGTGATATTGTGAATATCTTACGGTCATACAAAACACAGAATTTCTTTGATTTAATGCGTTTCGATTTGATTGTGGATCAAAATTTGAAAGTATTTTTAATGGAAGCTAATATGTCACCAAATCTTTCGTCAGCTCACTTTAAGCCCAATTCGATTTTGTATGAGCAGATACTTTATAATGTTCTAAATTTAGTTGGTATTGGATCGCCAATTAAACAGACCGAAGATTGTAGGTAAGTTGATGGTGTGATCTGCAAAATGGATTACCTTTTAAGGGACACCATAAAGATTATTCTATAGAACTTTTAAAAATAGAAACCGTTCTAAAGGATTTCTGCAGATAGAAGTTTTTTATGTTATGTACTCTTCCAGTACAAAAGAATCCTCTGAAGGACTTATTATAAGAAATTGACCTTTGCAAGATATTCTATAGGAATCTTATTTATAAATACAAATATTATACATTAATTGTTTTATTTACTTTCATTCAGATCGAATGCGCCAAATGAAATGATAACAACAGAACAAAATCTCTCCACAAATCTCAACGAATGTGCAGCTCGTGGCTGTGATAGATCGTGTAATAAACCCGGCTGTGATTTATGCTTACCTTGCCTTAGAGGAAGTGAATATGAAATGCTATACAGGGCACACAGAGAACATCTTCACCGGGGTAGTATGAAACGTCTATTCCCACCGCCATTTGTAAGTACATGTGTTATAAAACATTTAGGTAATAAATTAATTTTAATTTTTTTCTGATGAATTACAGTTGAGACCTGATACCATTGTGATTGAAAATGAAGTACAAAATATGACCAAACTTAATAGCTGGATGACACGATGGTTCTACCACAAGTGCCTATACGATAATAGCTGGTGTCATTAGTATTATTAACATTTTTTTAAGGATTTGTTTTTTTTAATGTTTACATTTTCAATATTCAAATGTAAAATAATACCACACATTAAATAGTTTTTTTCAGTGAGTAGACTTTTTCTATAAAAAAAATTCTATTTCTTCAGTTTACTGCGGAAACTTTCTATAGAAAAAATTACTCAATTTACGGAATAGACTTTTTTCTATAGAAAAAATTCCTCAGGTCCCCTGAGGTGACTTTTTTCTATAGAAAAAATTCCTCAGGTCGCCTGAAGTGACTTTTTTCTACAGAAAAAATTGCTCAGGTCCCCTGAGGTGTCTTTTTTCTATAGAAAAAAAAATTCCTTAGATCACTGAGGAGTCTTTTTTCTATAAAAAAACCTTCAGATTACTGAGGAGTCTTTTTTTCTATAGAAAAAAATTCCTCAGATCACTGAGGAGTCTTTTCTATAGAAAAAAAAATTCCTAGATCACTGAGGAGTCTTTTCTATAGAAAAAAATTTCTCAGATCACTGAGAAGTCTTTTTTCTATAGAAAAAAATTCCTCAGATCACTGAGGAGTCTTTTCTATAGAAAAAAATTCCTCAGATCACTGAGGAGTCTTTTCTATAGAAAAAATTCCTCAGTTCACTGAGGAGTCTTTTTTCTATAGAAAAGAATCCTCAGACCCCTGTCTGTTTTCTTTTCTTCTATAGAAAAAAATCCTCAGATCACTGAGGAGACTTTTTGTCTATAGAAAACAATTCTTCAGATCACAGAGCTGACTTTTTTTCTATAGAAAAATTTCCTCAGTTCACTGAGGAGGTTTTTTTCTTACCTAATTACGTAGCTGGTTTGTTACATAACGGTTGTTTCATAAGCCGAGCTTAAAAATGATATCCAAGCGCGTCGGTCTTGTGCGCATCTCTTCCAGTTTGAAGGAACACGTTGTCTTCTACTTGGTCTTTCCATCTAATTCGTGGCCTTCCCCTTCTGCGTGAACCATCAGCAGGCTCGCTTTTATATGCCTTATGAGATGGGACATTCTCATTCATTCGCACATGGCCTAGCCACCGTAGTCGCTGCAGCTCAATACGACTATGTCGATGCCTGCGTATAAATTGTAAAGCTTGTGGTTCATTCGACGCAAATCTTTCGGAGAATTTTCTTTCAAACACCCCACAATATCACTTTCTACGGGTTATGCGTCACCTTCATTCGTAAACAAAGCAGTTAACGGCAACTTTGTTTCGAGTTCGTTATTTATCATCCATCCATCTTGCTCCCTTTGTTTGTTGCAAGTGTAACGTTTTTAAATTTGGTCGGTTATTTAGTAAAAGCAAACGCCGTCGGTGAATTTCATTGGCCTTGTTGTTTGATGGGAACTAAATTCCATCTATCCATCCTCCCACCACACAAAAACCAATTTCAACTCCCAAAAAGACGAAATGAGCTGCAACTATGCCGATGGCTTATCACCCTACGAAAACAAAGGAGTATTGGGCATACCAGAGAAATTTGACAGTGATGAGGAAATTGAAGAGAAAGTCAACAAATTAATTGCAATGTTGGAAAATGCCAAACATGTTGTTGTACATACTGGAGCGGGGATATCAACAACGGCGGGAATTCCAGATTTTCGGTAAATATTTTTCGATTTGGTTGGTGGCCCAGAAGTAATGTTCAGTTTTAATTGCTAGTGGCCCCAAAGGTGTTTGGACGTTGGAGGAGAAGGGTGAAAAACCCAATTTAAATATATCATTTAATGATGCTGTACCCACTGTTACCCATATGGCTCTGCGTTGCCTTGTGGAAAAGGGCTATGTCCAGTATATTGTTTCACAAAATATTGATGGTTTACATTTGAAATCGGGATTACCGCGACGCTATTTATCCGAACTGCATGGCAACATGTTTATCGAACAGTGCAACAAATGTCGTCGGCAATTTGTGCGGACATCGGCTGCCGAAACTGTGGGACAGAAACCGTGTGGTGGCCCTTGTCGTCGTTCCTGTCGTGGTGGCATCCTTTTGGATAATATCTTAGATTGGGAACATGATTTGCCCGAAAGAGACCTAGATTTGGCATTTATGCATTCCACGTAAATATAGAGCAACTGGAATGTCTTTCAATACGGAAATTAAGACCTATTTATGTTTTCTGTTTCAGTTTGGCTGATCTCAATATTACCTTGGGCACAACTCTTCAAATCATTCCCAGCGGCAATTTGCCCCTTAAAAACAAAAAGCACAATGGAAAGCTGGTCATTTGTAATTTGCAACCCACAAAACATGTAAGTTATCTATTCAAAGCTCATCCACATTAACCATCGAGTTGAATAATGAATTTAATATCCTTCTTCCGTAATTCTTTGTAGGACAAAAAAGCCGATCTTATTATACACACCTACGTCGATGACATCCTCAGCAAATTATGCAAACGTTTGGGTTTAGAAATACCCACATATCAGCATGACGAGGATCCCACCAAATCTCCCAATGAACAAAATCAAGAGTGGACCATTCCTCCGCAAAATGTCAAAGAAATTGAAAAACTATTTAATGCGAAACAGAAGGCAGCTTCGGCCCAACGCAAAGCTGGGAAATCACAATTTACATTCTTTACGAAGAAAGAACCGTTTATTGCAAAAAAGAAACGCAAAGCGGAAGGTGATTGTCAGGATGATGACGATGATGATGAAAAGGGAGCTAAAGTGAAATTGGAAAAGTAATTGAGAAAGAAGAATATCCATGATATTCGAAGACTTTAGTAGATTAATTATTAATTAGATGTGTCTATGTGTGTCTCTCTTTAAGAAAGGATTCATATTGAGTTCTTAATTTTATTTAGTTATAAGAACATTTTTTCTATACAATAATTTTCTACACACAGTATTTTTTAGGCAATGCCTATGATAATATAAATTTGTTTTTATTATATATCTCATGGACATATATAATGAGAAAATAAATATTAAAGTGAAAGTCTGGCCTTCAAAGCAGATAGTTCTTCAAAATTGTTCTTTTTTTATAAAATCCGAAAAAATCTAAAGACCTACTCAAAATTATCCATTCTTTAAAAATGTGGATTGGCCTTGAAATACTATTCTTTAAAAAGTCTACGCCTTGGATAGGCATTGAAATACTATTCTTTAAAAAGTCTACGCCTTGGATAGGCATTGAAATAATATTCTTTAAAAAGTCTACGCATTGGATAGGCATTGAAATACTATTCTTTAAAAAGTCTACGCCTTGGATAGGCATTGAAATACTATTCTTTAAAAAGTCTACGCCTTGGATAGGCCTTGAAAAAATATTCTTTAAAAAATCTACGCTTTGAAAAAATATTCTTTAAAAAATCTACGCTTTGAAAAAATATTCTTTAAAAAATCTACGCCTTGAAAAAATATTCTTTAAAAAATCTATTCCTTGAAAAAATATTCTTTAAAAAATCTACGTCTTGAAAAAATATTCTTTAAAAAATCTACGCCTTGAAAAAATATTCTTTAAAAAATCTACGCCTTGGTTAGGCCTTAAAAAATCTACGCCTTGGTTAGGCCTTAAAAAATCTACGCCTTGGTTAGGCCTTAAAAAATCTACGCCTTGGTTAGGCCTTAAAAAATCTACGCCTTGCTTAGGCTTTAAAAATCTACGCCTTTAAATATTCTTTAAAAAATCTACGCCTTGAAAACATTTTCTAAAAAAAATCTAGGCCTTGACAAATTTTTCCTTAAAAAATCTAGACCTTGAAAAAAATTGTAAAAAAATATAGAAAATATTCTTTAAAAAATCTAGGCCTTGAAAAAATATTCTTTAAAAAATCTAGGCCTTGAAAAAATATTCTTTAAAAAATCTAGGCCTTGAAAAAAAATTCTCTAACAAATCGACGCCTCGAAAAAAAATATTAAAAAAAATATATGCCTTGAAAAATATTTTTAAAAAAATCGACGCCTCGAAAAAGAAATTCTTTAAATATCAGCGGCATGGATAGGCCTCAAAAAAATGTTCGTTAAAAAATCACTTTTGACCACCAGAGTTCACCCCAGAATAAATAAAACACCTTGATTTATAATTAATTTTTTATAATTTCTTTCGGTCAAATTCTTAGAAGGAAATTTGTAAAACTTTATTGTTGTTTACTTTGTTTTGCAAAGGGGAAGAAGGTAGGGGGATGGTTTTGTTTGTTTGTTTCTTAAAAAAAAAAAACTTAGAAAAAATGCTTAAGAACTAAAAATGAAAACAAAAATAAACGATATCATTAATAATAAAGAGTAAATTAGGAGGAACAGAAAAAATGCAAAATATTTACACACAGGTATAAACAAATTGGATCTTTCCCAGGCTACTGCTCCGGGGGATATTATGTACAAAGATAAATCCTCAAAACATCATAATTAAGGAAACCAATCTTATTTTGTTTGAACTTAAAACAAATAATATATGAGTGTGGTTGTTGAGAAAATTAAGTATAAAAAAATATATTAAATATTTAAACAATTTTCGTTTGTTTTATTATTTTTTAAATATATATTTTTATGTATAACAAGCTGTTGCTTTTTTTCAAAAGGCAAATGAGATGTTTTGTTTTACTTTTTTTTTAAATTAAAATTTTCATTTCATTTCAGTTTTTTTGGTATTTAAAAAATCATTTTGTTTTTTTCTTTTGTTCTACATACTACATACGATATATATTATGGTTGTTGATATATACAAAACACATAGTATATATTAATATATCGAAAGATAGGCCACCAATTATTGATTATCAATTATTTAATTTTGTTCATTTTCATTTTTATGAAAAAAGTTAAGGTATGTTGTAAAAACAAAAAACAATATTTTTAACTGGCCTAAAAGTAGGTGGTTTCAGTAGGGAAAGTCTCAATGAAAATATATAGATTTACAATCCATGGGATTCTCAAAACCATTATGCATAAAAGGTATCCCTCCCTCCCCATCATTAACCAAAGGGAGGGAGGAGGAAACTTGTTACACTTTACCATTTTGAAAAGAGTTAGGAAAAACAATTAAAAGAAAAATTCTCTTAGTATTTATTGGTGTATTTGTTTACTCGTTTGCTTTGCGTTTTCTGTTCTTTGTATTTCTTTTAAAACTACAATTAAAAAAAAATTAAAACAAAGTTTTGGAGAAATAGTTTTTATACAAAAGATGGTGGGAAGAGAGTTAGAGATAGAGGCAGAGTGAGGAGGGGTAGAAGCGAAGAACAAACAACAGTTTTAAAAATAAAAAAATAAAACAAAATAAAGGAACTTAAAGAGGGGCACACAACAATATGACACTTTCCAAGTCCTAATTAATGTTTCTTATTTTTTTTTTCCAATATGTTTCTGTTCCTTCATCACCTACCACACACACACACTCAATAAAACCTTTTCTTGTTTTAGATTTTTTTTTTTTAAATAATAATGAATAAATTCTTAATTTAGTTATACTATATATGATAATAATATAAACAAATCTACACACATGTATATTTTATAATAGTTTTTTTGTTGTTGGTTGTTTTGTTTGTATATAACTCTTATGGATGCTTAATAAAAAAAGAAAAACGATAGAATAAAACAACTTAACGATTGCCACCACTTGACATTGTGGTATTAAACTTGGCCCCAGTGGTAATGGCTGATGAGGCTGACAAGGACATCATGGATTGGTGACTCGACACTGATGCTGCTGCTGATGTTGTTGTTTTTAAAAGTATAATTTTTTGATTTGGCGTTGTTGTTGTTGCTGAATTCAATTGATGATTTGCACTACTGCTACTACTACTGTTACTACCATGTTGTATTGTTGTTGTATTGCTTAAATTATTGCTTTGTAAATTAATTATATTGGCCGCTGTTAATTTTCTTGATGATATAATATTTTGGGCATTGACATTGAATTGCTGCCCAGCATTTGCACTTAGACTAGTGGGTGGTGCCGGTGTTATAGTCACTTGAGCCTGAGCCTGGGCTATATTTTGCATGGCAGCCAGTTGTGAGGAGGCAGCCAATGATGAGGCTGGCACAATTGTTGTAATGCCATTTTCATGTTGTATGGTATTGCTACTGTTGTAAATTGCACGCATTTTTGCCTGGGCCGCAGCAACTGCAGCTGCTGCTGACGATGAACTTGATGTGGTGTTGTTGCTGCCATTATTCCCCGTCGAGATTTGAGCAATTTTAACAGCGGTCGTTGTGGGATGACTTGATGATAAACGACCCTAAAACAAATTAACAAGAAAAAGGAGATATTAAAATTGTGGTTTTATCTGTAATTTAGTATTTTTGGGGATCTCATTGTAAAGTAAATTTTCCTATTAAAAATTATTAATATTGAGGCTCTCGTTTTGGGTAAACTTCCACATAACAGTACCCCCAATATTCGATATTTTGCGGATGTTGGGAATGTTTTTCAAAAGAATTGTCTGTAATTTGGAATTTTGGGTTCTAAATGTATGGCGAACCTTCCTTCCTACCAAAAAATATCAATATTGACCGACGATGCGTCGTGGCCTCCATATAACGGTATCCCCAATATTCGATATTTTTGGGATGTTGGGAATGCTTTTCAAGCGAATTGTCTGTAATTTTGTATTTTTGGCTTATCATTGCGCAACAAATCTCCATATCAAAAATGATCAAGATTGATTCAAATTGTTGGGCCCCCATAACAAGTATTTTGAATATGTAGGAGGGTATATTTTTAAAGCGAATTGTGTGTACTTCCGCTTCCCATTGTAAAGAAAAATCACTCTGTCAAAAATTATCAATACTGTAGTCCCACGAATCGCGGATTTCTGACATCTACTTTTTAACCCATATTAAACGATTTTTTTTCTCATTACTTACATTTGTTGCTGACGTCGATACAGATGTGTATTTGCGATTTTGTAAAATTTTCGCTGCCACCTCATTGCCGGTCAATACCAAATTTTGTGCCTGGCCTTGTATCTGGACACCACTGGCCAAAAACATTGTCTGGACACCATGACGGCTCAACATTTTCTTTTCACAATCATCTTGCTAAAAAGGAAAACCAAAAAACAAAATTAATAAATTACCATTCCATTATCAATATTAAGAGTAGTTGAATCGTTTCAACAACTTACCAATGGACTGGCAGATTTACGCTCTAACAGCATATTCTCATCGAAACCCGAATCTGATGAATTATCACTGAATTTCGTTGAGGATGATGATGTCGACGAGGTCGACGATGTGGGTGATGCTGCCGACATTGATGCCGTTGTTAACGGTGGCTGGGCCATGGAATTGTACGAAGCTAAATTTTGATAAGTTGTTGTCGTCCCGCCACCATTGCTGCTAGCCATTGTCACAGAAACGCCAGCGTTATGTAAACTATTTATACTTGCCGCCATTGTTGGTGGCTTTGACAAAATATACGATTTATCGACAGTTTTAATAATGGGTTTCATCATATCGTGAATATCATTGGTTTTTAAACGAACAGCGGTATTGAATTTCTCCAAAGAGTGTTTAACAATTTTACCAGTATCAGCTGTTTTGATTTTATGCAAAAAGTTGTGATGGGCTGTTGATGATGACGTTTTCGTTATTGTGGAGGAGGAGCTGCTGCTGTTCATCGCATGTTGTTGCTGATGATAATTTGCTGACAAGGGTGTTGGTGATATTGTGGTAACCTTGGCTAAGGAATGTTTGGGCATATTTAGACATGCCGAGTTTGGCGTTTGCTGTTGAGAAAATTGTTGTTGCTGCTGTTGTTGTTGTTGTGTGGTATTATGGTTATTATAATCAGACTCAGTCTTTTTTGTATTATTATTATTTGAATTATTATTATAATAATTTGTTTCACTTGCAGTGACCATGTCACCTTGAGGAAAACATTCCGATTGTCTTTTAAAGAACAAATGGTGTTTCTTAAGCACTGGTGTTGATGTTTTGGTAATGGTTAGAGATGATGGTGTTGATGATGATGCAGATGTGGCGGCCGCCACTGGTGTTATTGTGGTCGCCGCCGCTGTTGTTGTTACACCACCCAACGGCCTCTCATATAACGATGTTGTACTTGAGCAAGATGTAGATGTTTGTAATTGCACCACGGCTGGTATACTATGTTGTATAGCTGGTTTGGTTGTACATCTGTCTTTTGTTTCCTCATTAGCGGCCGTCACAGCCACATTCAAATTTTGATGCTTTTCACATGGCTTGTAATTGTCAACATCCAGTATTAGGGCTCCGCCCAAGGCAGGGCATTCATACAATACACCACAACAGGTTTGTTTCGCATGCCATTCCTCCTCCTCATCGAAGAAGTTGATCGTTGATTCATGGGCATTTGAGCGGCGATTTTTTCTTGGCGGCAAACATTTACGCCGCTTGCTGCCCAATTTTAAATATCTTCTTCGTGCTTCGGCAGCAACTTGCGCTCTAAAGGCGGATGCCCTTGTTTGTGTTTGGAACTGCACAACAGTTCCACCAAGTAATCCCCCAACACCACCACTGCCGCCAGTACCACTCAGTGAACCATGTAAACGAGAATCTTCGTAATCACTGTCCAAGGAATCGGGTGTTGTGGGCAATGAATGTGTTCCGGCTGCACTTAGAGACCAACCATTACTGGATGATTTACGTGGTTTGTGTGTGGAGGAGTCTTTAATTTTCTTGGTTTTCTTGAAAATTTTTGAATATTTTTCTGGCATATATGAGGAGGACGACATATTGTTATGGCCATTGGAGGATGTGCCATTAATGGCACTTGTATTTGAGCAAGATGAATTTGAGGATGGGTTTGCACCACTATTGCTGCTACTGTTGGAGGATTGATGGCTACTGCTGCTGCGTGATGTTCCACGATCACTTTTGTACTTTGTTTGAATTTTACTGCTACCCGGACCAGCGCGAGCATCAACCACCTGAAAAAAACAACACATTATAATTTGTCCAATTTTTTTGTTTTTTTAGAAACTTACATGACTCCAATTACGTTTACTGCCAACTGGTAAACGTTTATAACGTTTTACCAACAGCACACAGGCATTGCAGATTTCACCCGTTCTAGGATATTTGAGATCAAAACATTGCATTGTATCACGTTCATATTTACGTGAATCTGTAAAACGTGAACTGCTTGATTTGGCACGACAAATGCAACAACCCTCGGCTGACCGATAGGTTCGAGGTTTATGAAAATTAAACATTTTTTAGGCGGAAATTCCCACTTCTTCTGCTACTGCTGCTGATTATGATATTTTGAGTTTGTTTTAATTTTTGATTTGTTGTTGTTTTTTGGGGGGATATGTTAATGTCTCTCTCTTTTTGTTATTGTTATTAAAAACAAAAGACGACACATTCGGAAAAAAACTGATGATAGTAAAATATCACGGTTTTACTAGTGCACGACGATTTGGACACATTTTGTTGAATTATCCTATAATAAGAGAATAAGAAAATAAACATTAATGTTTTTATTTAATCTTAAATTTTATTGACCAAAAAAGAATTAAATTAACTGTGAACAATTTTGATTTTACAATGACTTGTATTAAACTCCACAAAGTTACAACAACACTTTCTATCTCTACAATCAAAGGAGGAAAAAACAAAAGTAGGCACACACACAGTCACTCTCTCAGTTGCCAACGACTTGCTTTCAATAAATTCTCCTCTTATCAATTATTGCAATTGCAACAACAGAAACGGGGAATTTTGTACATAAAACAAGTAAACAAAATATATACACAACACAAAGAGACCCTGTCAAAAAGCTTTGGTTTATTCTTCTTCGTCTTTATTTTCTCACTCTTGCACTCTCAGTTGTCATCAAAGTACATACAAATTCCAGTTAAATGATGCCTGCCTGTCTCTGCATGTCACTATCACACTCCGTAGTTAACCACATTGCAATTCAACGGCAAAGAAACCAGCATACACTGTTGCAATAACAAAAACATAGGCTCCCTCGCTCTCTCTCATTCACACACAAAACCACTTGGCGGCTGTGCTCTCACACACGTTATAATTTCGATATATACTATGTATGTGTAAATAAATACACAAAAATAATAGTGACAAAGAAAAATGAAGTACACAAAACAAAAGGAGAAAAAAAATATAAAGAATACGAAGATGTAAGGATATGCCAATAATAAAGTGCATTGTAAGACCCAAAACAATATGAAAGAAGAGAATTCATGCATCTGTCATGGAAAAATGAGAGTACACAGTGAAAAGAAGAAAACGCGAATTTTTTTTCGGTCTAATACCCAGGGAGAGTATAAAATTTCAAAGATGGAAACAAGTAATTAAGAAAATTAGGAAATTTAGTTATACTAATATATGACAGCTAAATCAAGTCGAAACATGTTTTTCCTTTGCCTTTAACCGCCTTCAAAACCAAACCATACTTTACTGAAAATACTAGACTTTTCATTATATTTATTATTTCATCACATTCCTTTTTATAATTAGGCTTTGTGTTCGAACTGATTTCATCACATACCGAAAAAACCCAATCACTAAACTATGTATAACAAATATTTAATGGCAACACTGTTATATATTTTATTTGACATATCTTCTTCTTTCACTGCCGGGCTTTTTTGTTTTCTTTTCTGTTATATTTTTGCTCTGCATTTATCTTCCCCACCATATACAAAATGAATACTGTTGCGTGTAAAAAAAAGCCAAAACAAATAAATGGCCGCGCACATTCATGTTTTCTTGATGTACACACAACAGAAAGTTGTTATTAAAATAGAGCTATGAGAGACATTAACTGAGAGAGAGGGCATAGAGAACTCAAAAGAACACTCTTTTATTAAGAAGAAGAAGAATAGCAACAACTTTTGGGCAAACCTGGAAATATGCATACATTAATTTTTTACGCCGTGTACGCTACTACACACATTTCCAACAACAACAACAAAAATTTGACACATACACAAACTGCTGTAGGAAGTGGGGGATTGTTTTCATTGTTTTTTGTTGTCTTCTTGTTTTCGTTGACACTGACTGAGAGTGAGGCTAAATAGAGATATATACATGTGTCATAATATACATATACATGCATGTATATATAACTAGTATATACTACGAACGACACGACAACGACGAACGTTGTAAAGTTTACGTTGCGAGTACGCTTTTTTGCTACATCGCTTTTGTTCTGTACTTTGGCTATTTGCTTTTTTCACACACAATACACATAGGCTTGCTGCTTGATTGTGCTTGTTTGAAATTTGTGTGGCACAAAGCAAGGAAGCAAGACAGACTCTGTGCTGGCCTGTTTGGTCAAACAACAGCTAGTGCTTTTTTTGTTCGAAAGCATGCATACACAACAGCAACACACATTCTCACATACTTGTAAACAACAATACACTCACTACACCACAAAGAAGAAGAAGAGAACAACACACACAGAGCCAGAGTGAACAAAAAACTTAAAATATGTCGCTGTGATATATGAACTTTTTTTCGTTTTGGGGTTTGATGTATTCGGGGATTTTGGGATGTACTGAAAAAATACACAACTGCAACAACGTTTTAGTGGTGTTGTTGTTGTTGCTGTTTTTCATAGGGAAAGTAGTGAACAAAATACAGAAGAAAACAAGGAGCTGAATGTAAACGAAACACAACAACAACGCTTTATAAAAATCAAAAACTGCATATACACATTATTTATTTGGTTAAGATATAGGAGTATGTAATTGAAAATTAAAATGTTTAATTAAAAAAAATAATTTTGAAATATTAAATGGCACACATTACACATTTCATTAGCAAACTATTTAATTTATTTTGTGAAATTTATATTTAATTCAAACCCACCCTTTAAAATATTTTTTTTTTAACACTTTCGTTTTGTTTTTCAACAATATGTTGTTTTTATTGTAAATTATTAGTTATTTTTTTCACTTTGTAGTGATTTTCATTTATGTATATTTATTGAATTTCACAAAGTTAATTTCCAACAAAAAAATATAGATGCAAAAATTGTTAATTGAATCTCGTTTTCTTCCGACATCAAAAACTCACGTCCTAACTCTTAAGAGGCACAAAGAAAAACTGATGTACATATTCAACGTTTCAGCATTCGTACTGTCTGTTACGTTTAGTAGTTGTCGCGTTGTGTTTCTTTCCACTTCTTCTTCCACCTCCTGATTCGTGAGTGTTTTTGTTTTTTTTCTTCATGCCTTTTTCTTCTTCTTCCTCATCCAAAAAAATGTGTATTCATGCGAATGACACGAAGCTCACACAACAAACTCAAAAAGAAGAGGCATCCACGAAAAACAACAAAACACACACACACAAATCCCCAACACACAGCTCTGTTATGCGCGCACTCTCCCTCTCTTCACATAGAGCAGGCAAATCACCTTCGCACACACATGTTGATGAGAACCCAAACAATAATGGCACACATAACCAAAGTAGAATACCAATGAGTCTCTGATATAGCAAGAGAGAGGGAGAACAAAAGTCAAGCGCATGCATGAACATTTCATAGGCCAACACAACCGGACTGATAGACCATTGTTGTTTTTGTTGCCTCAATGACATGCTGTTGCCTGGCCGTCGTCATCGTTCACTGCAATAATCAGCAACGGCGCGCAGATATTTCGATATCAACAAAAAACTACACAACAAAAGAAAATAAATAATAACAGGCAGGGCTGCATTTGAGAGACGTAGTAGTAGTATTTTAGTGATGTGTGTTAAAATGTGTGTACATATTTGCCAATTTAAAATAATAACCCAAACGAAAAAAAATAATTTTTATTTGTGAAAAATTATTATTACTACAAAATAGAAAAAATATGCTATATTAGTGAAATGCTATACGAAGAATAAAATAAAAAAGAATAAGATATTTATTTTCCCTTTCCCTCATTAGTTTTAGATGATACTTAAAAATAATATAAAAAAATTGCGCCACAACTAAATTTTGAAATATTTGAAAATAAATAAAAATATCAAACAATAAATTGGAAATAATGATTCTAAATTTCAAAAAATTATTTTTTTAAATAAAAAAACTTATAATCGTTATCTGATATTATTTAGATATGTTTATCCATTCCTTGTCACCTCTGTAAAAAGTACAAAAGAAGAAGAAGAGAACCACAAAAAGAAAACCAGTAAAATTAACAAGAATATTTACACACACATACATACACCCAGTAGGCAGGCATAAACACAACAAAAAATACGCAAAAAAGGAAAGGTAAAATAGAATGTCAGACAGAGAGAGAGAAGGCACTGGAAGGTGCGAGTGAATGAGAAACAACAAATGAGAATCATATCAGAATGAAAAAAAAAACGAAACGGAAGAAGAAGAATTTGCAGTAATAACAAAATAGAAACAAAACAAAAAAGGTGGAAAAACAACGCAACAGAAAGAAAAACAGACAAAATTGACAGATAATACAAAAATAGAAAGAAGATCAAAGCAGCTGTTCGTTCGTTCTCCCCCCGGAAACAATAACAGCGAGACCACGGAGGAAAAGAAAAGGCCCTGGCAGATGAATAAAGTTTCTTTTTCTTCTTTTTTCTAAAAAAAATAATCAAGAAAAAATTATAAATAGTTTCTTAGTATAAAGAAAAATAAATCCACCATAAAAAATTATTTTTGAGTTGACATAAAAAATGCCTACGTGATTATGGTCATTAAAAAAGAGAAACTCTAACACATAGGAAGTGAGAGAGAGCGCGCGCACATAACGCAACTTTATTGAGAACAAATCCCTGTGTGGTGGAGCGCACCACAAGTAAAGGAAAACACACATAAGCAGAACAAAACAAAAAAACGAACACAGACGAGTGAGCGAGTGTGCCGTATGGTGGAGCAAAATATGAATCAGTTTGGTTTCTTCTCTTCATATAACACCATGTCGTCGTGTTGTGTTGACGTTGTCATCTTCGTTTTTTTTCATTATAAATGGGGTTGTTGTTCTTGCAGTCACACTGTTTAGTACACATATTAAGAAAAACAAAATCAACAACAATGTGAGAGTGAGAACTGTTGCGGTGTTCGGCCATTATCGGCTTCTTTGTTTTATAATTTTTGATGTAACATGTAAAGCAGGCACGGGCAGAGCGTAAAAAATTCTGTTCTCACGCACTTGTCTTTGTGTGTGTGTCAATGGTTTTTCAATTGGTTCAGTTGAATGTCTGTGAGAGAATAGTGATACTTGCTCTCGC